ACTGTTTTCCCACTGTAAAATGCAACATCCAGATAAGAATTGAACAGTTCACAGAACCATTCAGTGACTTCTATATATCCAGATGCACTGATGTGATGCATGGACAATATTTGTCTGTAGCAAATATAAAAACACAAATAACAGCACTATCTACAATTCTTATGAAGACTCTCTCCACAGAAAGCGTATTTTGTATGAACCAGACTCAACAAAACACATTGTAACTCCTCACAACTTATCCAGTGATAGTTTTTATAATATAAACTGTTTCTCAATAAATCCACCACTTAAGTCTCACTGACTCTCCCTGATGGAGCTCTGGGCACATAGACTAGTGTTTACTCCTGGGTCTTATTTAATCACTCTGCTTATGAATCACGTCTTATGACCAGTTTTTATTTATTGACACACAGAGATGTGTAACTAATGTCACTATTGATAATACCAGGCTATTGGATGAAGAACCAGCTATGAGCTGGGTCAGGAAAAACTGGCTCAGTCACTGCCTCATTTTTTATTTGCCTTGGGTATAAAATAAATACCATGGCCTCCAGGGTGATCATTCAAATATTTATTTAACACTGTACTCTTTTATAATTCTCTGTCAATTTTTTTCTTGTCAATGGAATAAGCTCTACAATGTGTGTTGTAGACTGAATATACATAACAAATGGATATATGTATATTACAGCAAAAAAAAAAATACAGGCCATGAATCTTAGAAAATGCACAATGTAGTCATCTTGTGAGTTATTATAACTAGAGGTCAAAAGGTATGGAAAATGAGATTTGGAGTGAACGCAATCTATCAAGATAAATCATATGTTTTTATACTATTTAAGAGCAACTTACTGCTGTCTTCTATTTTAGCACTATCCTAGCACTTGTTGAAATCTAAACTCATACCATTTTCAAGGTTTTTCTTTACAGGACATGTTTCCTTCCAATATTCTCACTTTGTATCAGTCTTCAGAAAACATCAATAATATAGTTTTTAGGTGATAAAGTACATTCACAGATACTGTTGTTCCACTTGATTCTCTCAAAAACCCAGTAAAACATACAGGCAAAATACAATTACTACCCCTATTTTCAAACATAGGAAACTGAGATGAAGACAATTAATTACCATTATTATAAGCAGGAGTACTAGAACTGGAATAGAGGCCTCTGATTTCAAATGCTGAGCTCTCTGAACTATGATAAATCTGAATTTAATTGGTTATAATACCCAATAGAGATACACTAATTAACACTCTCTATCTCAACTTCTATCTGCGTTAAGTATATATTCCATGTTTAAATTTACATTTATAATGTTAACATATTTTAGGACTGATCTTCTGCCATATATCTGCCTTTATTTAACTGTCTCTTTACCAGCCATTCTAGGAGAACATTTTCTGCTTAAGCAGCCATTCTCCTTGACTTCTGCAATTGCATCCTTCCTATTGAGACTTCAAACACCTACCCTGTCTGCCAAGCTCCCATGATTGAATTTCTAGGGGCTTTCCATGTACAATGGTATTTCTTTTTCAACGTAGGTCTTTGCTTATTTGTTTTTTCTTCTCTGAGCTCCATTATCAAGAAGCTTATTTTTGCCTTCCCTGTAACCTCATTAGTGAAGCATGGTGAAAGATAAGGAGAGAACAGATATCAACAGAGGGAAGTAGATGAATCCACCAGGACTCTTCTCCCTTCATTCTCTCTTGCTTGGTTTTTGTCCTGAGGACCATAGTATTTTTCAAAAAAACCCTTGCAGAAGAATATTAAAATTCTTCATTAATCTCACCAATATTACCCTGTTGAGCTAGGATAAAGTTAGCTATAACGCATAACTATTCACGAACTTTGAAATATTTATGCGATATAGCCAACTCAACTCAAATCTTGACTGAAAATCTTTACAAAGCAGGATAGCATCTTGCCATTTTAATCTTTGCTACATTTTTTACTTTACATAATTTACCTTATAATTAAAAAATGCATTAAGAGATAGATATATTGCTTCAACAAGCATAATTATCTCATCATTTTATTCATGAGGCTTGCCGTAAGCCAGTATATTTTCTTAATATTAGTGTGGAGTCAGATATTCAGTTAGAAGAGAGAGGAATTCAGTATCATCCCATTGGGGTAGAAGGCAGTAGGAAATAAACTAAAAAATATTCCACACCTCATACTAACCTTCTACCTTCTCTCTCTCTCTCTCTCTCTCTCTCTCTCTCTCTCTCTCTCTCTCTGCCTTTTCTCTTCTTTAATCCTAATGATCCCTTCCTTTCCGGCTCTAGTTAAGAGCATGTCAATCCCAGAAATAGTAATGGAGAATGGAGGGGAGAGGAAAAGGGCAACTCTCTGGACATTTTTTTTTCTTAACATATTTTATATAATTTAACTCAAGCTTTGTAAATGATAAACTTTCTCCTTCTCCTTGGGAAGAAACAATAGGCTTGTATTTTCAAATGACATCTTAAAAGTGAAGAATATGAGAAAAATGCCTGCCTTTCTCCCATACAGCTGAGATCATTACTGTGAAAAGAATTTCTGAATTATCCTAATAGGCTACCTCCAGGGAGCCTCCTGGATTTCCCTGCTGGTGGTCAGGCAGCAGTGCAGAAGTGCTATATTACATATACCCAATGTAATATACCTATATTACATATATATGTACATACCTATATTACATATATATATACAATATATCTTATATTGAAAGATTATACACTCATTTATAATATTAATTATCTTAATCCACTCATTACTAAACATTTGCCATTACTGACATAATTCAAGACAACAAAAGATTAATCTGTAATATCTTATTCCTAGTTTTTGAAGACCTCTAAAATATTCACTAATTCCAGAGTGTAGAGAGATAAATAGGTTGTTCATATTGTATTGGTGGGACTGAATATCCCTGCTCTGACAGTATACATGCTCTTCTTTTCACTGAGGCACCTAAGGTGCAGTAGGTATTTGTTGCTTCAGGTAGCATCTCCAGTGTGATCTCTTAGCTGACTTTACTAACTAAATTGCACAAGTAGGAACACTCTATTTTCAAGTAACTCTCTCTATACTGCCTTTGTATAAAAACATAATATTGTACATTTTCAGCTGGTTCCATTAAATTCAAAGGTTAAGAAAAGCCAAAGGGAAATCCTGTGGGCATTTTCAGGCTAGTGTACACAAAGATACTAGCAATTTTACTCTCCCACCATATGACACCACTCATAAAATCAGTTACAATTATTTCTTTGATTAAAAGTGACATAATAAAGGTGAACTCGATAACAGTATTATGCATAACATTTACCTGTATCAGAGAATTTTGGCATTCTCTGATCAAATTATTAACTCTCATGAAATATTAAAATGTGATCTATTGGAAAATACACTGATAGTGAACCATGAAAACACAAGGACCCCAATAATAAGGTATAAAAGTTAATACTAGATATAACAGAATTGTAGCTTGCAAAAACTGGCAGCCTATCCACTTGTCTGCTTAAGAAAAATAATCAGTTTATATTTTTTGCATCTTATTTGTCCATATTCCATCACATCAAATTTGTTCATCTTGACTCTTTGATGATAAACTTCTTAGAAATAGGCATTTTGATACATACCATGGTACATCTCCCCAAGTTAAAAGATTAATGTTAATTCTGGGAACTATAGTTTAAAGACTTTACTAACTTATTATCAATGTATTTTCTTAAATTAATATTATCTCCTGAATAGTATTATAGGAAATCTATTTAAACTAAGAAAATATCCATAGTTTTAACTATTCCAAAAATGAAAAATTTCTATAGGCAACATTTACTGAAGATTGTCCAATGAAAAGACAAAAAGGCCAAACATGTCACATAAAACTGAGGACTCCCTTTCTGTTTCTCCTGTTAAATGTTCCACCTACACTTAGAAACTACAAGCTTTTGTTCTTTCTACAGTGGGGGACAATTTAAAAGCTTACACAATTGAAAAATGATTCTTACGTAATCCTGAGAATTACATCTGATATCTGTCTCAGTGTCTCAATGGCTGGTGGTAATAAATACTTCTTTGCTGACAATTTATTCTGAATGTATTTTCAGCCAGCAAAGTCACTTTCTGTGAGCATGGTTTTGTTTACCGTTTGTTTGTTTACAGGAGGAATTACCAAACCTATTCATGACTGACTTGTATTGGCCCTGATGTAAATTCTATCTTTTAATCATTTATTCATGAGTATGATGTTGCTTTACAAGACATATTGTGGAATGAAATATTTAAACATTCTGTTAGATCTTCATTTAGGCGATATAAATTTACATTAAAAATGCTAGTGAATACTAATACTTCAATTAATATTAGCCATTTTACAAGCATTGTCAACAAACTATTTTGCTTGGCCACACATGAAAAAAATCTAATAATCAATTCAACTGGAAAGCTAATTTATACTACTTGTTAATCACTTTAATTACATGATCATGACTTCGTTACCATGGGTAGGGCATCATTTTTGTCCTCAGGAATTTTCTTTTCTCCTCCTCTTACCTCCATGATGGAAACAAAACAAAACAAATACAAAAAGAACAAACTGCACCCCTTCTATAGCCCTTCCCCAGCATCCTTGTTTCTCATATGCATAAACTGGTATTTAAATACCTACTGTTAACTTGGTGGACTCAGCCTCCCAAGGCTATTTACAACCTGCTTCCTCCCTTCCTGTGTTCAGACTGCCAGTGAGTGAACTCCTCATTAATAAAATCCAGTATTTACAGGCAAAAATTACATCTCTAAGTTGACTTGTGATTTTCACTGTTTTCAGATGAGGTGAGTATGACATACTAATCAGAAATACTTAGAATTTTAGGTCAGTTTTGCAATACGTTTTTTCAGGTGCATTTTAAAGGTCTTTGAAGACCATAAGCCTATGTCAAGCTACTTTTCTTTTTCTTTCTTTCTTTCTTTCTTTTTTTTTTTAAACAAAAGGATCTGGAAAGGTAACCTACCTTTATGTGACAGGCGTAACCGGGGGTGGGTAGTATCAGCTGTGTGACCTCCTGTCCAAAGCTCCAGTAAGTAACCCCACAGGAGCAAGGTGATAATGTGCCCCGCGGATGCCATGCTGCCGTGTTCACCGTTCAAGCCCTCACTCCTCACTTTAAGGAGGGTCTGAGTTTTACTTAGGACTTCCCTCCAGGGGCAGCGTGCGAGAGGCTTTGTCAGAAATCGAACGCGTTGTCATCAAAAAGCACAGTTCCGAAGTGCCATTTGTCAGGCTGTCTTTGGCTATGTAAAACCTTTCTTTCCTCAGGACAGTTGTTTATAAGCCGGGAGCAAGAGGACATTCCAAAGAGTGAGTCTTCAGAGCCATGCCCTGTCTAGAGCTCTCTTCAGCAACTAAGCCGGTAGATTCAGGAAGAAGCTGTTTTTCAGTCACTTAGGCAAAGCTGTTCATTCAGAAAAAAAGAAAAAAGGAAAAAAAAAAAAAAAAAAAAAAAAAAAAGCCGGAGCACACGCACTCCCTCCTCCCGTGGAGCTCCTCTCTTCGGGCTCCTGAAAGCCTCTCAGAAGCCAGCCTCTTGCACTGACTTGCCAAATTGCTAGTTTTAATTCACCTTTCACCTTGCTAATTAAAAACAAGAAGTGCCATTCCCTCTAGGAGTCGCAGGATCCACCCAGCAGGGATGCAGTCTGTCAGTGGCTGTTTACAGGAAAGTTCAGGCAGGGTTGAGCAGCGTACTTGCTGTTTATAGGAAGTATTTCTGGTCCACGTGCCCCGCGCCCATCCTCCCTCGCAGTCATAACCAGCCCCACGTTACTCAGCGACAGGAGAGAAGACCACATTTTGATGGGGGAAATGGGAAGACTGGGAGGGGTGATGATATGTAACAGGCTGATTATTTAAGACTAGGTGACAGACAAGGATGTGGTGTCAGAAAGCGCTTTTAAACTCTCGCCAAGATAAATGCAACTTCTTTTTAAAATAATCTATTTGTAGCCATCCAGGATCCAAATTCAGTTTTTCACTGTTGTCATGTAGGTTTTTTTTTTTTTTTTTTTACAATTAAGTCTTTTTTGTATTGTTTATATCTTAGGAATGTTATTTTTAAAGCTCTTTTAAGAAAAGTGTGTTTCAAGAGCCTGGAAAAAAAAAGTTCGCCCATGAGTGTCTCATAAATTATTTAGTTAAGCAAATTCGTCAAATGAAATTAAAAGCAAATCCTTTTTCCTCAGAAATTTCTAAATTTTACTTCAAATTTAAGAATGTGGAAGTAATTTTCTCCTAGGTAAGGTAACAGGTAAAGTTGAGATTCACCACCCAAGGGATTTCTGTAAAGCAGGTATTAGAAACTTAGGATGTGAAATACCTTAAGATTCAACTGCTATGCACTTCCAGAGTTTATTTTCCAAGACACTGTGTTTGTGTAAATAAGCTTAACACAATAGCTCAACTTTACAATCTACCTACAATCAATCTCAAAAACCAAGCCAAACACTCTGGAGCTGTTGGCATGGAAATGAATGGTATTATGTTAAGATACCGATAAACTTGAATAGATATTTGATTTGATAGTGGAGAATAAAGTGGTAAACAGTGATCTCAACTATGACAACTTTTTCTTATTCTGTATTTTAAATGCTAATAGTTAAGAACACTTTTTGAGAATTATGGTTTAAAATCATGAAGCTATAACAAAAAGATAACATAGGTCACCCTGATATTTTACATTATATAGAAACAAACGTACAAATAGGCATTCTCTACCCATTTTTCTAATCAAATATGTTCTTGTACAAGCAAAATACATTTAGCAAAATGTAAATGTCACTGGATGTTATAAATAATTAGATTTCCAAAGTCTACAAAAGATAGCAAACTCTAAACATTATTTAACAGTAAAACAACATGAAGTATTTAGAGACTTTTAAGCTGGGATGCATGCATATTTTAAAAACCAGTCTGATGAGCTACCGACCTAAAGGTTGCTCTACGTGTGATATACTGTACTTTCAAAAGTCTTTTGCTTTCTTCTAGGATGGAAGTAATTGACAAAATGAATAGCAGCTTTTATATGTGTTACCTAATAGTGGGATTATAGGAAAACTAAATGTGGTACCTATTGAAATTCATGGCTACTCTCACATAACTGAAATTCAACTTAAGATTGCACAGTCTCTGTCCTAACTCTACTATAGAATGAGACAGCATGAGACATTACAATATTTCATTAGTACACAAAATACACACCTCTAAAATGTTGACAAGATAATAAATGTTATGTGCAAAAAAAAAAAAAAGAAATAAGAAATAAAAAGAGAATAAATGTTATGAATGCCAAGATTTGCCTTTGGTTTTAAGTGTCATCCTTAAGATTAGATTGGAGGTAAATGCCAGAATAATGGATTTAGAGGTAAGTGCCAGAATAATGGATTCTTTAGATTCCTCAAAATGTGCTTTGGCTTATATGCCAGTCGTCACTGTCCTTACTTATTTCTTTTAACTCCTCTGTATGTCCTTCTATCTTTATCTTTATCCTATAGAAAATGTGTAGATAATGCCAAAAGATGACTACTGAGGAAACTAAACAACCAGAACTATCCATAGCCTCAGTTTCCCCCATGTGGCATTAGCATTGGAATAAAGACTCTTTGGGACAAAATTAGTCACTTATATCGTAAAATAAAACAAGAAGAATCCTCAGAAGCAGAGTTACCACATAATTCATCATCTAAACAAGACATTTTTTCAGAATAAAAGAGGCTTCAATTAATAATTACATGAAAATCAATAATAGCACAGACAAATGACAACATCAAAATCTGAACCCTTGAGAGCTATTTGTAGATACTCTTGGGAAACACGGAAATAGAAAATTTTTTAAAAAGCTGACTTACCACCAACAGTGAGAGAAGAGCTTTAGTGGACTGAAAAGCTTTGGCGTTGCCAACAGTATCAGGTGATACTACTGTATTTGATTTGAGAGGATCCAGGCTAGCAGTTTAAACAATATCAGACAACAAGGAAAACCAGGTGAGAAGATAACTGCCAATTATGAAGGTATTGCTTGCCAGGTCAAGGGTTTTATTCCCAAATCTCTCATTCTTGCTAGTCTTACATTACTGTATGAAGACTAATGTCAGTCTGGTAGGAAAAGGAAAAAAAGAAAATCAGGATTCATCAGAGTTCCAGTCTCCCCCATGATTGTTTCCATCACTGGTTCCTCAATTTCAACAGCAGAAAAATCAACTAGCTTCTAGAGCTAGCCTTTCCAGGAGGCAGTCCCATACTATCTCTGCTGAATCAATGTCAGGTGCTTGTTAAAGAACAGCTTGCTACGCCCAACCTCATGTTCCCAGTTTGCCTGAAATTTTACATAATAAAATTTGTGTTTGATAGGTGTTCCTTTAGGCCAGTGTTACCAAAAACATTAGACATCTATTTGCCACATTCACCATTTTTAACATAATGACTAGTGTCTGCAATTAAATTTATATAAAATGAAATCATTACCTCATAGGCTTGATGCCCTACTTGTATTTTACAAATACATGCAAAAACCAAACAATTGTAACAGTTTATTTCTGCATCACCTAAAATTATCTTGCATACTGTGGGAGACAGTACTCATCAATATTCCCTCAATATCATATCATCAATATTCATTCCTGGGCATATGGGAGACTATGCTTTCCAGCTCCTTGGCAGTCATGTGAATTCACTTGACTAATTCTAGCCAAAGAAATATGAGCAGAAGTGATGTGTATCACATCTGGGCTGAAACAGTGAAATATTCCTAAGAAATTATTTGGTCTTTCTGAAGTCTTTTCTGTAGCAAAAGGAGAGGAGGACTTATGTTGAAATGGTGGCACGATGAAATTGAATCATCTTAGATTACTGACTCACTACTGGAGACAGCTACCCTGGAAAGTTACTCAGACCCACAAGAGACTTTGTATGAGTGGAAGAAACATGTTATGTTAAGCTACTTCGTTTATTTGTTACCACAGCAGAGCAGAGCCTCTCCTGACTAAATGAACACACTGTACCTACCGTGCTTTAGGAAACATGCTTTTGGACAAACTTACAGCATTAACCAGTTACTGATGGTGTATTCCTTTCTAAACTCACTTCAGCAGAAGTTACTAATACAGACAGGGAGAGATGTGGTTACTTGAGGGCCAAGTAAGAGGTAAAGTGATTCCCTGTGCTACTTGTAGAATGGGGTGGAATATGCTTTTAGCTTTTCCAGTTGAACATTTACCCAAAAATGATGACATATACATTATAGGTGGACAAAATAACATAGTACTACATCTGAAGAACATTATGATTAAAAGCATTAAAAAACCAAAGTATAAAAATAATGATGATCCTTTTTATAACTAAAGACACAAATACATAAATTTTATAAATCTATTAAATGCTTAAGATACTTGGATAACATAACTTCTCTGTGGTAGTTATGGCATTTCGGCTTCACTAATCCCTCTTCTATTCCTGCTAGCCCTGCTATCTCAGTGATCTCCAGTCTGGAGCACCTTAAATGTCCCACTAATAAGACCTGCTGTTGCTGCTACTGCCACCATTGCTGCTGCTGTTTACAGGTCAAGACTACTGATGCTTTTATTAGTCATTCTATTCAGATACCTTATACCACAGAATTTGTAAAGGATCTAGAGTCTGGACTGACTGTTTTCCACATTCAGTGATTCAGGCAGATAAGGACAGATAACTACATGACTCCTGATTCGTATGCTGCTAAGGATAGTCCCAGAGAATGGTATTCCATCAATTAGTACCATATATACAATCCAATCATTCACCTGCCTGAAAGAGGTTTGGATAATGTCATTCTGATGTTATCATTTGGATGGCTGACAATTCAAAAAGTTGGCCTTGTATTTTTCCATTTTGACCAGCTATTCTAAAAAGCAAAATAGACTCATGAAATTGCTCTCATAAATTTTAAAATTCTTTGTTTCTGATTTATACTAGGTTTATTCTCATTTTCTTTTAGGTCTTTAATAATAATTAAAAGAATCAGAAGAAGCATTTTGAGTAAGTGCAAGCTTTAATGAACTCTAATCAAATCTGCATGATTTTTTAGGGCAAAATGAAATGATTCAAAATTATTAATTCTCAAAATTCTTTATAGTCCCTGGGAAGTTTTCCTATACTCTTCCTTACAGGTTAAGAGAATTCCTTAAAGAGGCAGAACTCCAATCAGTTGCTTTGAAAAAAATCTAACAGAAACTTCTATAATATGTTAGAACTGATGGGTTTCTATGTCTTTTGTTATACATATTTATAAGTTACTGATTGCACCAGTGGTGAATTGGTTATGTTACTGTTACTCTCAACATCTAGCCCTATACTCCAAACTGATTCCACTTTAAAAGAATTAAAAATAATGATTTTTGTTGTTTTGTTTTCTATATGCTAAGCAGCATGGAAGGCATATTCATATAAAATCCAATTAAACTCAGAAAATCACTCGATGCAATAGGTACCATTTTTATTGTCACTTACACAAAAAGAATGTAGGATACAGATATTAGTAACTTAGCATGTTGGTTAACTACTTAGTTAGTAACTTGCATAAAGT